ACGATGCGCGCGCACACACTCACACGCGTACGCACACACACGCACACGCGCACGTGCACGCGCCACGCGCACGCGCACGCGCCAGCACGCACGTACGCACGCCACGCACGCACACACACACACAGCACAACACACACACACACACACACACACACACACACACACACAGAAAGAAAGAGAGAGAGAGAGAGAAGAGAGAGAGAGAGAGAGAGAGAATAAGCAGTAGTATAGAAGTGTTACTCTAGGAACTTGGTGATGTCGGTACGACTGCAGTTCGACCAGAGCACGGGTACGGAATCCGACTCTAAATGCGGCGCCATCAGATACTGGTAGGGCAACGACTTGTTCAGGTTGGGTGTGCATCCGTGCATTCTGTCGTCATGCGTCATCCGAAACTGAAACGTCATCGAACACAGCTGCAAAGGTCAATTAAAGTTAAGAATATAGCAGCAACGAAACTGAGAATAAAGAGATTCTATAGTACATTAGATAGAGATTTCGGAGTGAGAATGCTTAAATTTGAAATTATACGGGTGAAATTAAACAGCGTCTCGTTTGAACAAGAAAACGCTGACGCTACGCTAATGTTTTTGGTTCATAATGGGAAATAACTGCATAATTTACGGTGACCCGTACTTCCCCGTGAAATGGAATTTCGTGCTAAGATTACACAAACATTTTTTTAAAGCGAAAACATGTTGATGCTTACTGAAGAGAAAAAAACAGTAATGTTACTATTATATAACATACTGCATTCATCCTTCGTTTCCCCATTCGTATCCTCCTCGGCATTTAAAAGCCGAGAGTGTTTTTATTTTTTAATTTTATTTTTTAACTTTTTTAATATTTTTATTATTAAAAAATAAAAACACTCTCGCTTTTAAATGCGAGGAGATACGAATGGGGAAACGAAGGATGAATGCAGTATGTTATATAATAGTAACATTACTGTTTTTTTCTCTTCAGTAAGCATCAACATGTTTTCGCTTCTCTCTCTCTCTCTCTCTCTCTCTCTCTCTCTCTCTCTCTCTGCCCCTTCTATCGCTATATCGATCTCTTTCGTTCTCTCTCTCTCTCTCTCTCCCTTTCCCTCTCTCTCTCCCTCGCTTTCTCTCACTCTCACCCTCGCCATCTCTCTCTCTCGCCCTCTCTCTCCATCTATCTCTCTCGCTCGCGCGCTCTCATTATACCTCTTGCTTGCTCGCCCTGTTTATTTCTCTCTCTCTCATACACACTCGTTCAGTCTCCGCTTACTGCCGCTACATAGCAGCAGCAGCAGCAGCAGCAGCAGCAGCAGCAGCAGCTTCATTCCCCGTTATCTCAAGGTCAATGTGAATCGTCTCCGATCTACGCCAACGTGACTCTATCATCGATGACGTCATAATGAAACATCTCAACGTTCGTAGCCACATGACGCTAACTACCGTCGCCACGTGAAGTTCATACCTGACGTCACGTGACCTTTGTGTCTGGATGTGGACCTATGCTTACCGTGATATTATGAACATACATATGTATTCATAGGATCATATGTTCATGTGTTCATGGGCTCGTTAGTTTGTGAGGTCAAAGCTTTATATGTTCATGGGTTGATGTTGCACATAGGTTTATAGGTTCATATGTTCATGGTTTTTTAAGTTGATAGGTTCATGGGTCCACACGTTCCTAGACACATAAGTTCACAGACTGTGGGTTTCATAAGTTGATGGGTTCATGGTTCATACGTTCACATTTTCATGGGTTCCTAGGTTCATTGGTCTATGGGCACAATGGTTTCTGAGATCATAGGTTCCTACGTTCATAGGCAGATATCTACATCTGGGCTCATGAATAGATATAATATACGAACACGTGTATAAAAGTATAAAATATGTTTGTGTATATCTGGTTCGTTGTAGACCATGCTATCAGCTTACCTCCTTCTGCTCGAGTAGGATGAGTCGGACCAGCACTATCTCTATAGCATTGCCTATACTCGCATCATGATAGATGTTAGACACCTGTAGAACGACAAAAAAATCAGCATCACAACCAACGTCTGTCTACGTCACACGTCAGGGCCGGATTTAGACATGGTGAAGCCCTAAGCTATGCGTAAGCTGTAGAGTAAACTTGTGTAAATAATGATATTTTTTATTAATTAGATCAATTTTGTTTATATTGTTTTTAATCAGGTTATGTTAATTAGGTTAATTAGGTTAAATCTAAGATTATTAGTAAAAAATAATGAGACGCCACTTCAGACTGTGAGGTCCTAAGCTGTAGCTTGTTTAGCTTATGCCTAAATCCGGTCCTCGTGCACGTATTCGTGAACAACGCTCTGTATAGAACATACACTGTAATGAAGCTAATACAGTGTCAGAACAATGGTCTGCAAAGAACATGTAGCAGTAAAAGGGAACATAATGTCAGATCATCGCTCTTGGGGCGCGTTTCACAGGGGCGCGTTTCACATGCGTTTCACATCGCCAGGCTGGTTCGCTATACGAAACATGTAGTC